AACAGAATGACTTTCCATCTAGAAAAGACAAAAAAAATGCTAATGTAGCAATTTTTTCAATTTTTCCGAAAATTTCCGTTTTTTTCCAGGGGGAAAACGGGGGGGGGTGGGGTTTCCGAGCTTCAAAATTTCTGGAAATTTTACATCTCTAAGCATGGCAGGAGCTAGGTCGTTCAAGTGTTTTTAGACAGCAGCTGAAGTATGTTGTGCAGTCAATTTATTGGTACACAGTTCTGCAGGGAGCATTTTATAATATTAATTTTATTGAGAGTTGGCGTAATTTTTTTCCTGTATTGTTGAGCCAAATAGATCACAATAAACTTTCCCTAATCAGAAGAATTACATAGTTTAATTAAGTGTGCCATTCCTGAGCTTGTAATATTAGTTTTCAGTATTTTTATCTTTGATCAACATATGCGCATATTTACTGCCAATATATTTAATCATTTGACATTTCAAATTTAAGCACAGATACTATCCTACTCCTCCTCGTTTGTAATTAAATTCATTGCCAGCTACTAAAGTCATAGATGCATTCAAAATGCTTATACAACAAGTATAAAATTGGATTTCTAAAAATATGTAAAGCAGCAAAAGCTTAATTATTTGAAAGAACTCAGGAATTAGTTTTCTGCCTACAAAACCTTGATCATCTTTCGCCATCAATTAGTACAGGCCACTGGCAATGCTCCCTCTAAACTGTGGAGTCTTGTGAGCAAAAATTCTATTTTATGAGCTACTAAAATTAAAGTTGTGAGTGAGCAATTTGGCTGCCACATAAATTAGTTTGCTCTGGAGCCATCCTTTCTGAGCAAAGACAAAAATGGCTGAACCAGAGACTAAAAAACTGTGAGCTAGCTCACACTAACTCGGCTTAGAGGGAACACTGGCCACTGGACACAATACTTCCAGAAAGAAACATTGCTTTAACTATATTTTGTATAAGACTTCGAGAGATAGTTGAAGTCTTATGTACAGTCACATCTAATGGTGTGCGTTCGGTATAAACCAAACTGAATAAATACCCAAAAAATACCTTATCAGTGTTTTTCGGGTATTTATTCAGCTGAATACAGATCTCTAATCTGATTTGGCTAACACTATAGCTGAGCCCGAATAAAAGCTGATATTATTCAGCTTTTATTTGGGTACAGCTTAGAGAAACTGAGCCACATTGTGGTGGCATGGGCTGGCTTGGAAAAAAGGATTTAAAGAGACCTCTTTAAATCCCTTCTCCAAGTTGGATTGCTACCACAGCTGCGGCAGCACAACTCAGCATGTGAACTCAGGCATTTAAAGGGACTGCATCCCTTTACATGCCTTTTTCCCTCCACTGGAAATGGAAGATGTGGCACTTTCTCTGGGGGCCCACAGAATTGGACCCCCTGGTCCAATATTTTTGAAACTTGGGAGGTTTTTTGAAGAGAGGCACCAGCAGCTATGCTGCAAATTTGGTGCCTCTACTTCAAAAAAAACCCGCAGAGCCCCAGAAACCCCTGGATTGATTCTCTGTTATAGCCTATGGGTTTCCCAATGATTTCCCAAATCCCAATACCATGCCGATACTGGGATGCGGGAACATCAGGAAATACCCATATATTTTGGGTTCAATATATCCAAACGTGAAAAATATCATTTTTTCCACACCCCTAGTTACAGCCTCCTATAACTATACACCAGATACTGCAAAATCCCTTTTATCTGGCACTCAGCAGTGCCCAGCAGGCAGTGGATAAGTATGCTGTTAAGTCCTGGGCGGGTCCCAGACATAGCCCCTCCATGCTCTGTGCTGCTGCCTGCTTGCCACCACTGGGCGGGTCCCGCTAGCCAGAAGTACACAGCAGCCCAAAGCTGGAGATGGCCATACCCACAATTCACAGCCCACTCTGCTGCCACCCACTTAGCACTGCTTCTCCTGCTGGCCACCAAGTGCACCCTAGCAGTGATAAGCAGACAGCAGAGCAAAGCAGGTGGCAGCCATGTCTGGCACCTGTAGCCTGTTGAGATGACAACAGCGGCAGCATACTTGGTTAAGCAGCAACCCCTATTTCCCATGAACACCAGGGAACAACACTTTTACTGCACAACCTTTTTTGAGTAAAGTAGCATGTTGTTGCAAAGAAGGAAATACTGCAGGAAGCAATTTTGAATTTCTTCATGGAGTATCTCCTGGCTCTAGAAACCACAATGAAGTATGTAAGACATTACTCATAGAAGTAGGGGAGGGATGCAACACAATACCTTTACCAATATGCAAAAACATATAAAACGGGGGGCTTTTTTACTAATACCAGTTACAGCACACAGAGGTAACAGTATTAACCCTTGCCTCTTCATAGTGAAAACTTACATACTCTGATCCCCAAACTCTGATGTGAATGTGGGGGCTCCAGGGAGGCAGGTAGGTACAGACATCAATCCTCACCATTGTTGATTAAGAAACAGGAACGGGCCATATACTCCCCCCCCAATCCCTGACCTTCTCCAGAGTGCCATCTCTCTATATGTATAGTTAATGTTTACTGCAGTAACCAGGGTAAGCATAATTTACACTAACCGGGGTTCATTATTAACCAGGGTTTCCATCTCCTGGATTGAAATCTAGGTAGCATTAAGCATAATTAATGTTAAGAGAAAGTAAGCCATTGTTATGGCTTGGGAGAAATTTGCTCCAGAAAGCTGAATTTATGGCCAGTGTCCTTTCTTCCACAATCTCAAAGCCCACCATGGTTAAGTGACTGAACAAACTATACTGGAATTGTATTAACAAATAAAACTATGAGAGCACAACAGCCTGCAGAGCTCTGAACTGTGGCAAGAGTTTTTAACACTTACAGAGATGGCACAAGAAAAACCAGCACCCCTAGTGGTGATCAAGCAGCCAAAGAGCCAATAATTTGCTGCCTTTTAATGGTATCCCAAAATCTACTCCCTAAGGTAGATAATGCTCTTGATTAGCAGGGCTGTCCTACAAAACCTGACATTTATTGAGACCACCAAGCCTGTAACCATACATTTATATTACACTTTTTCTGATTTGAGCAAAAACTTAAATTACAAAAAACTTGAGATGCAACAGCACAAATTGTTCTGTGAACCACTACCCAAACCTCTTCCCCTTATAACTATCATGTACTTAAGAGCATTGCCAAAGATTAGCACTACCGTTCCTGAAGTATTGTAAAACTGCTTCAGGTATTCATAAGAACATAAGAGAAGCCAATGTTGGATCAGGCCAATGGCTCATCCAGTCGAACACTCTGCCACACAGTGGCCAAAAATACCAGGTGCCATCAGGAGATCCACCAGTGGGGCCAGGACACTAGAAGCCCTCCCACTGTTGCCCCCCCCCCAAGCACCAACAATACTGTGCATCACTTGCCCCAGACGGGGAGTTCATCTCTATACCTTGTGGCTAATAGCCACTGATGGACCTCTGCTCCATATGTTTATCCAATTCCCTCTTGCCTATAGGAATTTAACTACACAACAATATACTACTTTTCAGTTCAGTACTTCAGTTTAGAGTTCAACTTGTAAACAAAACTGCCACCAACCCGCCTCACCCCCAACAAGTGGTTGGATAACATCTCAGAATACAATTTGGACCACATTTTTAAAAACTCAGATTGCTTACACCGAAGGGGAAGGAGGAGAGCTGGTTTTTATACCCTAAGAAGTCTCAAAGCGGCCTACAATCGCCTTCCCTTCCACTCCTCACAACCAACTGTTCTAAGGAGATTCAGAAGTGCTTGGAGACCAACAAATTGTAAATAGTTCAACTGATGGCCATTGTTTGTGTGTGCATGTGTGTGTGGCTTTACTGATTTGATTTCTCTTTACTCAACCACTTAACAGGAGATTTAAATCACAGAAGCCAAGGGCCTGGGGCAACAGTTTCCTAAACACTCCATTCCTGCACACCTGACACGTTTACAGAAATGCTATGATCCAGTCAAATTAAGCAATAATTCCTAATGGTTTCAGTGAGACAGTTAAGCATTTTGCCTAACATTCCCAATGAAATAAACGGGACTTCATGTGCTCAGCGATGGCCAGATGATCCACAAAATGTTTAAAGAACAGATCCTTCCTGGATTGAAACCTAAATGGCCTACTGGCCGCCTGGCGGCCACAACCTACCCTAATTCTTCCAAGCCTCCCTTCCCTCCGCCATCTGGGGGACCTGTCCCCAGCTGCAGCCTTTGGAGTACAAATATTTTAAGCCGAGCTACGAAGGCTAGGTAACTAGGCTATGAAGATTTCGGCAACCACTAACCACTGAAAGATAAAGTTACTAAGCTATGTTGCCCTGGTCAGCCTTAGAGGAGTAAAGTCTCTTATACCAATCTAACTTAAAATATGTTAAGAATAAACCAAGAAATTAAACGATCAGCTGGATTGTTACATCATATAAGCAAGTACAGAATTGACACCTAGCCAGTACCCTTCCCCTTGATATACACGTTCCTTCCTTTTTACTGATAGTTCAATTTCATTCACTATCACTAATGCATAAAACTGCACCTGAGCACTGAAAGCACAAAATGTCAAAAGCATACTTGGTACAGTCATCTTGTTAATGCAGAATTAGCTGCAACATGCCAAGCATTAGGGGCTTGGAATCCTAATTTGGTCCAACTAATCAATGGGGGGGGGGGGGGGGGGGATAGCTAACACTCGAAGAACCAGGGGCTTTATAGCTTAACAATGCAAAATACAGTTTATTTTTTTCACTGGTGAACGACCTGAGGCATGACCCAGCTGTTGACATTTCAAACAAATGGCACGATTGCAAAATGCACGGTCCGCCACTCCTGCCAATCTGTCACAAATTGTCAATATCTGACACAGACGCATTTAATGTCATGGTGAAAAGACAAATTACGACTCGCCCACATCACTGGCAGGTTAAAAAGGGGCTTTCAATTTGACCAGACACACAAGGTTTGCTTTAAAAACAAAGAAACAGCAAATAGGTTCAATATGTACAGACTTACTTTTCGCCCATCACTGGCATGGCAGTTCACATTTAAAGGCGTCAACAAAGCCATTAGTTTTTCTTCATTACCACTCCTGCATGTTGGAGGAATAAAAAAAAATGGGGGGAATCTCTTATCAAATATTTGAAATGGAGTTCCACGTCAAAGCCTCTCTTTACCAGCATGTTCAAGAATCATCTAGTAAGTGTTTCAAATTGGGAGGGGGGGATGAATTAATTTTAACTTGCTTTTTAAGCATCTTATACCTGTGTTACAGATCAACATTGCTTTAATTCGACCTATGTGTCACTTAGATGCATAGCTGCTCGCAGCATTTCCCAAATAACGTTTTTCTCTCCATTCCCCAAGACATTATTAACAGCTTCAAACCTCTTGCTCAGGGTTTCCTATGGTGCATTTTAATAATGACAAAAGAAGCCTTCAACTGTGCCATAAAGAGAAATCATAATACACTATTTGTCCCTAAAATTACCACCTCCCAAATATAAACTGGATTTGGAGCACATTATTGTCAAAATATTCAACCACAGTCACATTATACGAACCCAATACGCCAAGATCTCAAGCAGACACTGTTTTGCTTTCTACAGGGGGATAAAACCCAAAGAGATTTCTGTCCATAAGGCTTGTTTACCTGCATAATTTCATAATAGGGCAGCGACACAGCGACAGCTCATAACCCCCCCCCTTTTTTTGCCCCTCACTGGCTCCCTCCCTGCCTCCAAAACAAACAATTTGTATTCTGAACGGCACTCACCTCGCGGCTTCCAGGAGTTCGTCCTTCTTGTATTCACCTAAATGATTGCAAAATATCATGCTGTTAGCATTTGGCAGAAGACAGATTAAGAAATGCAGTAGGAAGCAAATACAGAATTAAAACCGAGAACAGGAGAAAGGGGGGGGGGGAATGAGAGAAAGAGAGAGCCCACACCCCGCTGGGTGATGGAGCTGTGACGTTAGCCAGCTTGTGAAGGCAGCATCACCAGTGCCTTGGAGACGGGCAGCAAATTGACGCAGCGTCTTGTCCAATCCATGGATGAAATGGCTTTCTTCAGACAACCAATGAATGCTGAACCTGTGTCCAGAAACAGTCCCTCTGATAACAGCATGGCAGTTGAATGCAACGCCCCCTCCCCCCACTTCCCCTATTCAATATATCACAGTATGCCAGCATAGCACGGAAAGCAGACGCACAATGATGCTTTAAAAAAAAAAAAAGTGCAAATAACCTTCCTCTAGAGCCATTACAAGCTTGAAAAGACCCTCCCTCGATATCATGACTCAAGCGGCCGGGCACTGCAAAGGAACTGCCACGTATCTCAGCCGCTTAAGCCTCTGGACTTCCCAGAGTTATGTTTTCTAGCCCGAAGGAAAGCAATGCATCAGTATAAAAAGGTAAGGAAAAGGGCAAAAGCATTCTGAATGCTGCACTTAAAATCTACCATTTAAAAAGCTGTTCTGTCTGTTCTTGCATCTTCGGGCAAAATACTAAATTCACATCTTGGACTCTAGCTATGCCCACTGCCAAGTATTCCACTAGACTCCTGAAGCATTTTTTTTTGCCTGGCGGGGAGAAAAGCTATTCTATTTGCCTTCCGGTTTTCAAAACCATGGTCGGAAAGTAGAAAATTCTGCATTTCATCTTCTCTAAAATGCTGAGTGCACCTCAGTGTAACTGCCATAAAGTCAGGGAATTAAACTTAACAAGTAATCCTCACAATGGAAGCTACTTTGGCTCTCTTAATCCTGCCCTTCCACCCTACATCGCACCATCACGAATTATCAAGCTTTAGAAACTATCAACAAGTGCATTTAAACCCAACCTACTGGGGAAGTGGACACAAACCCCTCAGATGGGCTCACATACCTCAACTGTGGATTAAGAATTAAATCAGAGAGGTACAACGCCCAGCAAGTCATTCTTCTCTTTGGTTCCATGTCTGTGAAATAGGAATGCTGACTGGCCTTCAAGAGGGCAGCCTTAGAATGTTTGACTATTGGCCCTTCTAGTCAAACACCAACTGGCAGTGCCTCCCCAGGGCTACAGAAAGGGGTTCTGCTCAGCTGTTCTATGCAAGATCATATAAGTGGAGGTGCCAGGGATGTGAATGCGAGCCCTTCTGTATGCAAAACATCACCCCTGAACTATACACCCCTTCCCCAAAAGAATTGGTGGGATATTCCGGTACGCCAAAGGACCTCCATGGTTCTCTTCTGAGCAGCAGAACATCACACACCTGACCCCCAACTGCCCCTAAACTTGCCCTCATATTCCACGGTGGTTTGTCACAGTGTTGCTTATCACAGATCTAAAGCCATGAGTACACAGACTGAGCCTGGCTGTTTGCTTACAACCTGGTCATCATCTACAGCCTTCTGCGTAGACGTACATAACAGGAACGATTATTCGTATACATACAAAACTATACCTAATATATGGCAACATTAGCAGCAGACATCCTGTGATCTCTCTAGGTAAAAGAGATCTTAAAGCCTTTTGTTGCAAGTTTTGCCCCTTCTGTTCTATCTGTACAGAGCTGACTGAGCAGAGGCACCAAAGTCACATGCGTTCTTGCTTTAGATGCACAGCGCATCAACACCATACAGAACAAGGTCTCAGCACGTAACACTGTATCGGACTTTGCAATTACCTTCACTGATGTTTGGGTCAAGGCTAAAACGTGCACGCTAACTTTGTTCAAGAATACAAGAAGGCACAAAGTTAAGAAGGCATGCTGTGGTTAAAAAATGGTAGGATTAGCCTATCTGAATATTCAAAGCTTTGAAGAATTAAGCAGAGATGTACCAAGTTTACTGATAAATGCACTTCTGGATGAGCAAGTCGGCTACACGACTGTGGACCTCAGAGCGTATATGGCTAGTTCTGCATGCCTTCTGTAGCACTGCAGTGGTGACCCTAAACCTAATCATACAACAGTCATGTTAACACTAATGTAACGGGGGGGAGTGTCTTGCTGTAGTGATGGGCCATGCAGAAAGGGGAAGTCTGTTCACTGCTTTACTTTTCAAAAGGCACTCTGAAACATGCAACCCTGGAAAGCCCAGGATAGCCCAATCGCATGAGATCTCGGGTGCTAAGAAGGGTTGGCTCCGGTTAGCATTTGGATGGGAGACCACCAACGAATACCAGGGTTGCGATGCAAAGGCAGGCAACAGCAAACCATCTCTGAATGTCTCTTGGCTTGAAAACCCTATGGGGTTGCCATAAGTTGGCTAAACTTGACTACAAGCAAGAAAGAAAGAAAAAAGAAAATAGCTACAGGATAGCCTTGGACTTTATTTCTAAGGACTGCACGAACACTCATATAGTAAAACAAAAAAGTTCTTGCCCCTGATCCTTTTTGAAGCATTTTTAACAAGTTAACAGCTCCTTAAAAACCTGAACACTGAGGTGGGTCACTGCTTCCTACCTCAAACTGCTCTTTTTCATAGGAGCCAGCTCAACAGAGGATCACTGACAAAACCCATTCAGGCACTTGCAGTGGTTGTCGGGGCACCTACGGGTATTTATTTATCTATCATATTTTTATACAGCCTTTCAGTCAAGCGACTCCCCAGACAGGTAGCAGATTAGGATCAAACATTCGAAACATGAAACCCAATGAAAACCTAACTACAGTTATCAAAAGATACCAAAATCACTCATAAGGTCAGCAACTACACAAGCACACACCCTTCTAAAATTAAATACTGGCACAGAACGCTATACAGAACAGAACAGAAAAGTCTTTACTTGCCTCCCAAGAGAAGGCAAGTATTTGGAAGACCACCAAGGAAAGGTCCTGCTTTCGGTAGATGATAACCTTGCGTCTGCCTGAAATAGTATTCTAAGGAGTGTCTTGCTGTTACATCTAAAGAAGTGAGGGGGTTCTTACAGGAGCAAGCACTTCTAGGAAGCAAGGACTTTGCTGCTGTGGCTCCAAGGCTATGGAGTAAAATTAGAGTATCTGCACGTTTCATAACTCCTCTGCACTAGCCTTGGATACAACACAATTTTCTATGTACTCAGTAATCCAAACTGCAAGTAAAAACAATTGGAAGAGTAAAAATTGAGCAGCCACAGGGATTGTAAAAGGCGTTCGTCACTGTAGCTCCCCCCCCCTCCAGTTCTGGAGAAGGAAAGGTTCTGATTTCAACAAGCACAGTTTTCCCCTCATTTGGAAATCAGGTACACTTGGGCAAGGGAAAATGGCACCATGCACCCATCCAGAGGCTCCTGTGGCATTCTTGTCTCAATTGAAAAGGAGCACTATGAGGATACCCCATGGACTTCTACTGCGACTTTTAAGCTGCCACATTACCCTGATTTACCTTTGCTTGCTTTTCTGCTATTCAGCTGGGGTACATTTTTAATCTGATCTTCCCTTCGTAGTACTATTCTATTAATGCTGGAATGATTGGTTTTAATTGGATGCTGTTGCTGCTGTTTTTATTTCAGGTTTTTGGTTTAAAAGATGATGTAAGCTTCTTTCAAAAGATATTTATGGAAAATATGGGGCCCAATAAATTGCCCCAACTCTTTAAAGTCCGTACAAATATCAGGGGCACCTTGGAAATATTATTTACGGCTGTCTCTGTGCGTGGGCACACCAAAAGGGCCTCTTATTAAAGAGCAAGGACAGTCAGTACTGTACTTCTTGGGGCAAGGATAATTACGAATGCCATTCTTTCCAGACTCCTCCTACCGTCTTTCAAGACATAAAGGGTGCGTTCAGACGGGGCGTTTCAGCCGGCATAAACTGCACCGGTTCCAACCGGTGCAGTTTATGCCGGCTGAAACGCGATCACACTTACTTCCTGTCTGTGGAGCCCATCGCTGTATGCCCGTTCACACACAGCGGGCATCAGCATGTTTTTTTTTTAAACTCAGTTTGCGCATGCGCATAGGCAGCCATCCACAGAATGGCTATTTTTGTGCATGCGCAACACACCCCGTCCAGAAAAGCATGCCCTGAAGAGAGTACTTACCTTTAAAGTTTAAAGAGCAAACTGGCCTCCCTGAGGTCCCGGACTCCTCTAAAACCTTAAACTAAGGACCTTTTCTTTTCTTTTTAAACAAACGCCGGGGCGAAGCTTTGCCCAAGCGCATATCGCCGACCTAACAAAAAAAAATGGTGGGCGAAAATCAGAAGCCTCTGGCTTCCGAACGGAAGTGGCTCTACAATGGTGGAGAGCGATTGGGGGTGGGGGGTAAAGCGGTTACAACCGTTGCACTCAGGATACTACCACTTGGGGACCTAATGTCAGAACATAACGGTTTAAAGCTCTTTACAACGGTTCGGGACGGAAGGCAGATGTTCACCGGTAAGTACACCGATTCCAACCGGCACCTATACCGTTGTAAATGCCCCATCTGAACGCACCCAAAGACTTCTCCCTCCTGGGAGGAGGGGCTAAAACACTTACTTAGCAATGAGGAGTAATACTGGGAATAGGAAGGGGAGAGGTGACAGGACTGTAAGGCTGTATTGTTTAGATGGGCTCCTCCCCAACAGTTTTAATGGTGTTTTGATTCTGTTAATATTTTACTGTATCAGGTCTTTGGTGGTGGAAAATGCCGTCAAGTTGCAGCCAACTCATGGTGACCCTACACAGGTTTTCAGGGCAAGAGACAACCAGAGGTCATTTGCATTGCCTGCCTCTGCATAACGACCCTGGACTTCCATGTGGTCTCCCACCCAGGTACTAACCAAGGTTGGTCCTGCTTAGCGTCCATGACCTGACGAGATTGTGCTAGCTTGAGCCATCCGGGTCGGGGGCATGTAAGGTCTCT